GCACCTGTAGTCCCAGCTAATCTGGAGGCTGAGACAGGAGAATCACTTGAGCCCAAGAGTTTGAGGTTGCTGTAAGCTGTAACACCACAGCACTCTACCGAGGATGACATAGTGAAATTGTATCTCAAAAAAAAAAAAAAAGATACCTCTTCTAGCTATAGATGAAGACAGAAGAGAATAGGCTTCTGTCCAGGCTGCTGGCAGAGATTCAGTGATCCCTTGCCAGCCCCTGAGTTTATTACCTAGATTTTATTAACCCACAAACATTAGTCTTTAATATGTAGTAGAGAGCACACACCACCTGGTACCTGTCACCTGTGTACAGATGGGTGGAGATTTGAAAGTTGAACAGGAAGAGATTGACACTAGGGAATCATGAATCAGTAGAGATCCTTGGTGTCTTCCTGCGTCCCTGAACAATGCCATCCACTTGTGCGATGCCTCCCCCGCCAGCCCCCAAGGCACCAAGCCCACCTGTACTACAGCATTGCTACCAAGACTTTGATAAATAATCGATGACTGAATTAGGTCAGTGAGTACACAAAATCTAGACCAGTTAGTGACTGAATTCTGTGTTTCATGGAACCCAAGGCAAACTCTGTTCGAAGGTCTTACCTCTAACTTTTTTTTCATAATTTGAAAGACCAGCAGATTCAGTAAACTTAGGGCTTGTTTAGACTTCGAATCTGTGTGTCCTTGGCTGCCAGTATGTGACGAGGGTTCCTCTGTGTCTTACTGATTAAGTTTAAAGTGAGGTTTCTGAGCAAAAGAACGAAGACAGCAAACTGTTCCTCCTGTTTTTCAGGGAAGTACAGGTATTTTGTTGAGAACTTTGCTTTCCTGATGGAGGCTTCAGTGTCACTAGAGTGAGTCCCGGAAAGGCTACATCAGAGCTGACAGTTCTGTTGGGAGAAATCTGAATTGATGTAGAAATCGACATGTAATGTTTCTGACTAAATTGATCTTTGAAATCAGAAACAACGTATGTTACACTTTTAGACCTGGCTGCATTATCAAAACAGTAACATGCTGATAAACGGTGTCTCAGGGCAAGGTTTGGCTCCTGTTATGCTAATTTCAGGTAAATAATGAACCCTGTAGTATTTAAGGGAAACCCATGGTTTATTCAGCATTAGTAAAGTCCTATCTTCATGAGGGCTTTGAGTGTTACTGGAGACTTTTACGTCCTCCCGGATCTTCATTTGAGCCAGTTTTGAGGAGAGAGGAACGGTATGCAAATTGGGTCATCTGCAGCCACGTGGCACAGTTCTGTCCTTAGGGAACACAGTATGTGGGGCAGAAGATCGAGGTCACAACACTCATTGCCAGCTCCAGGTAGAGGAGCTTATTTGCTGTTATGTTAAATTTGAAGATGTGCACTCCTAGAAGAATATGTCTGTATGTTCTTTCCTTCTTAATTGTAAACCTCTTCTGCATAGTCACTACCATGTGTAATACATTGATTCCTTATAGATTCCCCAAGGAGGCATTCTAGATAGACCATGTTTTCTTGATGGATCCACATTAAAGATTTAAGTGCTCAAAATTCACGTTGGCCACCTTTTAAAGTCAAAATTCACGTTAGCCACCTTTTAAAGTCAATTTTATTTATTTTTTTAATTTTATATTGAATTTTTCTATAGGCAATACATGTACCCCATGGTTAAGAGGTGTACAGCAATGCTTTAGCATTTTCAATCTACCTGGTTCCTATTCTCATCCCTGAAAAAGTAAACATTATTTCATACGTATCCCATGACATTTTTGTTATACACAAAGAAGCAAGCATCTTAAAGAGTATTTTCTCCAAAAACATTAACATGAAAGATTCATCTCTCAGAGTTTGTTAAGTAATTGTAACCAGTTTTAAAACTTTAATTTTATGTTAAGTAATATACCACTGATTGGCATAGAAATTCTAGAAGGAGAATAAAACATTATTTAGGACTCACAAATGGTAAAGCAATTATCAACAATCAAATGAATTTTAAAGAAAATACTGGTAGGGCATGTAGCAGTGACATCAGTCAGGAGAATGACTTTATGTTGTGGTCAATTCTAGAATCTAGAATTTAGGCTATCTAAAAATAGAGTCAAAGAATTAAGTTTTTGTGGTGTGTTTATGAAATTATCACATGTTTATGTATAGGTTTATTTATTTTTTATTGAATCCTAGCTGTGTACATTAATGCAATCATGGGGTTCAATGTGCTAGTTTTACACACAATCTGAAATGCTTTCATCAAACTGGTCAACATAGCCTTCATGGCTTTTCTTAGTTATTATGTTAAGACATTTATATTCTACACCTAGTAAATTTCACCTGTACCCTTGTAAGATGCACTGTAGGTGTGGTCTCACCAATTACTCTACCTCTACCCATCCTTCCCCCTCCCCTCCCCTTCTTCTTGGGCTATAATTGGGTTATAGCTTTCATAAGAAAGCTATAAATTGGTTTCATAGTAAGACTGAGTACATTGGGTGTGGGTTTATGAGTTATCAGATAACGGGCTGGAATATATTAAGGTAGCATTTTGTTAAGCTTATTGCATAAATATTTATGTGTGTGTGTATATATATAT